GAGTTGGATGTTGATGGCAGATCTATGATTGCTTAAATTTCTTTACAGCTTTTACGTATACTCCAGACGATTTAGAGCTTGATACATTGTGTAGACCCATGTCTATTGTTGAAGACTGTATGTTGCCCACTGCATATCATTTGGTTATTTTTGTCATTTTGTTTCTGTCTCATTGACCTATCCCTAACATCTCCTTTAAGTTTTAACTTGGAATTTTACAGGAAAAAACCAGTTTTTATACGTCCGTCAAAAGTTTGACGGGACTTTCTATGGTATACAAATGTCGTCTGTCCGTCTGTCTGTCTGGCGTAAACATGTCGCACCGTAACTTGAGAACAACTTATCCAAATTTCATGAAACTTAACATAGTTGTTTCTTATGATGGTCAAACGATCTGTATACTTTTTGGTGAAAATAAGAAAAAAACTTATTGAGTTACGGGACTTAGTCACTAAAACAGGTGTGTGTTTTTTTCATATGTCGCGCCGTATCTCAGAAACAATTTATGATTATTGCTTAAAACTTTACACACTTCTTAGTTATATTAATCTTAAGATCTGTATACTTTTTGGTGATGATTCAAAATTTTATTTTTGAGTTATTGAGTATTTTGTAAAAAAAGGGGGAGGGGTTTTTCACATGTCGCACCGTATCTCAAAAACGATTTATGATTATTGCTTAAAATTTTACACACTTCTTAGTTATATTAATCTAAAGATCTGTATACTTTTTGGTTTTGATTCAAAATTTTATTTTAGAGATATTGAGGTTTTTGTAAAAAAAAGGGGGGTTTTCGCATGTCACGCCGTATGTCAGACACTATTTATGATTATTGCATAAAAATTCACACACAAGACGACAGGCATATCATGCGCTCATGGCGTAGCTGTTTATTTAATTTGGTGAAGTACAATGGGCCGGCATAAGGGCAAACTGGGTGGGTGGTCGACCAACAGCTTCTGTGCAAGAACTTATGAACTGTTCAATCAATTCTTTTCAAATTTTAATATGTTGATACTAATGACAAAATGGAGGTCAAGTCAAATATTGACAATTTTCACTTTTACTGTTCAGGAGTTATGGTCCTTGATCTATTGGAAAATGGCACTTTATTTCGTTTCCGTTCACTAACTCATGAACCCTTCTATGAATGGTTTTTAAATTGTTATATGTTGTTACTGATGACAAAATGGAGATCAGGTTTTATGTTGACGATTATCTCTTTTACGGTTCAGGAGTTATGGTCCTTGATCTATTGGAAAATGGCACTTTATTTCGTTTCCGTTCAATAACTTATGAACTCTTCTAAGAATGGTTTTTAAATTGTAATATGTTGTTACTGATGTCAAAATGGAGATCAGGTTTAGTAGGGACAATTTTCACTTTTACCGTTCTGGAGTTATGGTCCTTGATAGATTGATAAATGGCATTTTCTGTCGCTTCCTTGCAATTACTTATGTACCATTCAACCATTAATGCTCTTATATTTAGAAATGCTGTTACTGATGACAAAATGGTGGTCAAATTTAAAATTGGCACTTTTTTTATTTTTGCCGTTCAGGAGTTATGGTTGTTGATAGATTGGAAAATAGGCAAACAATATGAAAGGTTAAAAAAGCCAGAAAGTGCCTTTCAAAATACAGAAAACCCAGTTTGCTTTCAATTTAACAGCTCATTTCTTGTCTACAGTACAATCAAGTAACAGAAACAAAAATATTTCAAAGTGCCTTTACTTGGTCAGCAAAAACTAGTGTCCTATCTTTCGGCATAGTAAAATAATATAATTACAGTCTAAATAGACAAACTGCAAATGCATTATAAAATTGTCATTGTTATTTCTTTGAAGTAGAAATTCAGTTCATATTATATCATATATCAATGACATGTTTATAAACATGTCACAATAATTTACTTTCACCTTAAAATTTTATGGCATTTACAAAATTAACTGCTAGCTTATTATCTTCTAAAATATCATAAAGGAAAAGACTTTTAAATTTATTTTTGAGATGACTAGGTACAAGTTTGATATTTGGAATTAGTGACACTAAATTTTTGAGAATATACAATTGCAATGTTCACACATTTAAGTCATTTACAATACATTTGTGACTCATTGAGACCAAATATTTGTAAATGTATGAAGTCAATGGTTTTCAAATTATGCATTCAGAACAGATTCTAATTGAGCATTACAGGCTCCTTCAAAAAATTAATGTTAACAAGGATAGATTTCAATATGTTCTTTTTATTAATCCTTCTTAGTATTCATAAAAATCATTCTTGTGGCTTTACATTTTTCATCAATATAATTTGTTAGGAAAAGTTTGAAACAATTTGTTTTTGTTTCACTTATAGGTTCAAAATTGGAAAGTTCTCAAAAATAATGCTCTAGAAATTGCTATTGAAGTCAAATTTGATAGAAGTATTGCAAATTTTCAAATCTTTTGTGAAAAGTTTCATCAAAGAACATTTTTAACAAAAATGAAATAATTATACCCCATGCAACGAAGTTGCATGGGGTATAATGTTTTTGACCCGTCTATCTGTTGGCCTGTCCATCAGTCCGTCCGTCCGTCAGTCCTGTTCTTGTCATTGCAACTCCTCTGAAACCACACAACAAAATTTGATGAAACTTTGTAGATAATGAGGACACACTAGATGTAGATGTGCATATCGACAGGAAATTATGATTCGATTTTTGTTTGTTGTTTGGTTGCTGTCTCAATTACATATATACTCCCACATATTTTTTTTTTATTCATATTCAAAATAAATCACAAAACTACATATATGCCATTTCTCATGAGGAGATTTACATTTTATTTTGAAGAATAGAAAAGTTAAGAAGTCATAAGCTAAAAGTAACCATATTTGTTTGACTAATGTTTGATCAAAGGCTTGCGAGAAATATATGACAGTTGACAAGTGTTTTTAAAGACTGTACTAATTTTATGTTATTGATAAAGGTGCGTTTGACAGATATCAAGAGTCAGCAAAGTAGTTTAAAGTAACTGATAAAAGTTATATTAAAGAGATTTTACAGACTATAATCCAGTGATAACAAGGTGTTAAGTCAATAGAAACTTGTCATATAACCATATTATCATGTGATTTATACTACCCCACGTTGTGAAGTACCCATTGGCTGGGGTATGATTTTTTCTGACCAATGGCAAAGTGGATTTAAAGTATTCTTTTCATGAAATTTATGAAGCTAGAAGTTTGAACAATGTGGGAATTTGAAAATCAAGAGGGACAATAGAAGATAAACACAAATAAAAATAGATTAAATGAGTTGTACAAGCATCATAGAATGATACAAAAATAATTGGTTAGATGGATGTAAACAACACTATGAAACTAAAGCTTAGGCAATATGCACCTCCATAAAAACTGGAAATGTTATCAGGTGCTTTGGAAGGGTTAATATTTCTTGCAATGCACACAGCTTCTAGCATGTGCTATTAGATTGGTTGTAGCTTGTTTCGTATATGTTCTGTTTACAACACCACTAATAAGAACTGATTAAAACAATAAAATAAGCAATCTTACAGTCTTTTTTATACAAACAAACGGGAATTAAAGTATCTAATGCTAACTGGGTAAAATTTCACATAAGGGTTTGGAAAGTAAATCAGCAAATTGGATGCACTTTCATCATTTTAAAAAAAAGATGTCTACTATTTTGAAGTTCCAAAAATATAGAGTACTATTTCATTTTTATAGAATTATTAGTTTTCTTTTTTCTTTATCAATTCTGCCATCAAAAGTATGGTTTTTCACAGTTTAGGTAAGACTTTTTAAGCTCGTAATGGAAAAGAGGCAAACATATGTTATTTTGCCTTTGATTAATGGAAGGGTCCACAAGGTGTCAAGTGATAAATAATTATTAGGTCCACAGTCAACAAAATGACCAATCAGGATTAGTTATATTCTTTATAAGATGACTGCATAAACCCCTACTCTCGATAGATTACTTTTACATTTGAAGAGAACAGATTATATGTAGTTTAAAGGGCAATAATTCAAATTGATGTTTCAATTTATTACTACGGGTCAAACAGCAGACTTAAAAAAAAATAACATAAAAATTTCTTAAATAATTAAAACAACTTCTAATTGAGTTAAATTTCAACATTGGAAATTTGGCACAATTGACCTATAGACAAATTTAACATTGGAAATGTCAGTATTTGGCTATAACAAAACTCATCTAAACTGCCTCAGATCCCAAATATGAATACAATATTTGGTTTGTACCTAGGAGTCATGGTTGAAATATTATATATCTAGAAAATATGATCTGTAGTTCAAAGGGAGATAAATCAAATTTGATTATTAACTTAGATAAAATATTCAATTGAAACTGTCAGGGTTGTCTATCCTGTCATTGTACTCAAAAACATTTATTACATAATCTGAAAACATCAATATCAATTTATCATATCACATTTTTTCACTCTGTTATATTTTTTGTCATGTAAAATTTCAGCCATTTTATTATTGTCAATTCCAATTTAAAGAATACATGAAGTTTAGGTTTGTCACCAGGGAATAAAACAAATTCCCGAAAAATTATTAAAAATTTTATCCGTCAAAAGATAACATAACAAGTGAAAAATAATTTTTTCAAGTCCCTGTAGGTCAATCAGCATAAATCAGAGATCTGGTGGAGTTAAGTTTCCCAGAATATGAAATTCATATTTAATTTTTTAGTCATATAATTCAATAATCTGTGAAAGTCCTTTTTTCATTTATGGATATCAAATTTTGTTTTTAATGGCATGAGTATTCTTAATTTGTGGTCTCGGACATTGTATATAAAAAACCAATTGAAATATGCAGTTTCTTTCAGTTTGTGGTAACCACAAAATCTTTTCAAATTTGTTCCGTTATTAATAGAAGTACCGTCACATGTATGCAGAGAAATTTTTTTGTGTCTTATGTATTTTTTCCCAAAATGTAATGCTAAAATTTTGATTATTTTGTATTTTCAGGAGGTGATCATATTGACACAGTGTCTGTACGTAATTACCTCAAAACATTAGAAGTTACTTTAAAGATGGGTAAATATGAGTTTGGTCCAGCTAAAGAAACAGATGTCCGCACCGTTGAAAGACCCTTCAGCAACATGTCTTGGAGGGATAATGACCTGAAAAATCTGGACAAAAGGTCAAAATTAAGATCATCAGCAAAAACAAGAAGTAGAGGAAGTTCACGTCCAACAAGTAGAGATGAGAGGAGTCTTCATTCAATGAGCAGGCTAAGCAGTGCAAGTCATATAACAGCATCAGAAAGGTTAATGATTGAAACAGAAAGACCTGCCCGTCTGCTAAATAGAGAAAGTGTCGAAAGACGTCTCAAAATTGGAAAGCAACTTGTAAATGGCTTTTCAGGTATACCTGATTATGGGAGAAGTGTTATAGCGGAAGACAAAGAAAATGAAGAGGAACAAGAGAGAAGGCAAAGTCCAGAGCAGCAGCCAATGCAAGTTCAAGACAATATCATTGACAGTTTTGGTGTTGATATTGCTAGAAGTGAAGAAAGTCCTGCCCAGAAAAGAACACAGTTTATGCCACAGACCCTGGAAAGTGGCCCTGTTAAATTATTCAAAAGATTTGGAAGCGCAGAAAGTTCAAGATCATCAAAACAAAACGTCCGACCTCCACGAGAAAGCAGTGCAAGAAGTGCAAGTTCCTATGGAACTAGTTATCGGACAGGAAGTAGCTTAAAAAGTTACTCGTCAAAGAAGGATACAAATCCACATTCTATAAATTTAAGTAATACATCCACAGTTACGTCTGGGCCTAATTGTTCATTAAGCAGTTTACTTGGTAATTCTAAAACTCCAAGAGATATATCTAGGAAAGTCCACCATAAATCTGCGTGGTATCATGTTCCAGGGCGTTACTTCACAGATGAAGATAAACTTCCACCAAAACGATCACAAAAAACACAGGATGTCAAGGCCATGATGAGGCGATTAAATATGAACACTCCACCAAAAATTTTTGCGCCTAGAAATGGTGCCACTCCTACTAAATTCAAGAAACATAAATATTTCAATGAGTCTCATATGAATGAGGATAATTTTGGTCCCACTGTAAAAGGTATTGGACCTGTAGCTTCTGAAGCTTATTCAAGTGAATATATAGATGATGTTTATGAAAATCCAGGTTCTACTGTTACTTTTAGAGGTGCTTATATTATGGAGTAATGTTCTTTCTATGTTTAGTAAAACAAAATATCTTTGTCATTTTCTTCTTTAAAGCGGGTTTTCTTTTTGACAGTCTCTGTATTCATCTTTTTTGTGATGCTAAATGTTTGAAAAAATGTAACAATTTTTTTTACCTATTTCTGAGAGCAAATTAGTTGTAATACACAAATTCTTTAAATTTATTTAAAAAATTAGCATACTATGAAAATATATTTTCTTAATACATATTTAGTTGATGAAAATAATGCATTTGACATTTTAGTGGCAAAAGAGAATATCCTGCAACGACTCGTTTGTGAGCCATTCTATGGTTAATATGAAAACAAATCATATTTCAACTTTTCATACTCTATACATTTATGGTCAAGTGATACCTAGTTGTCCATGTATCAAACTTCCAGGATTTCCTTAGTGCAGAGGAAACTCGTAAATTTTGAATCATTATTTAAAAAAAATTTCCTTCTATCTATAATTTTCTGTAATTTTTTATTCATTTTAACCACATTAATAGTCATTACTTTGTTCTATAAACCTAGTCATATTGAAAAGCCATCATTCCTATTCTATTCAGACTTAAACTAATTTTATACATTTCTAGATAATCATGATAATTACAAAAATGCCATTGAAAGTTCATATTCAAAGTTAGACTGTTCTCTTGACCACATGTAATTGTGACAGAATTTGAATGAATTTCTTGTTTCAATCAACTAGAGTAATGTTTTATCAAGCTCCATAAAACAACTGTCAGCTCAACAAAACATTTGCCAAGTCATTATCTAGCAATCAAAATTTGTCAGTTTTACTGAGAGAATTAGTAACATACAGTACAACTACACATATTGATTTGTAATCATGTGATAGAGTTTCAGTGGTATTTTTGAACCTTGTGTATACTTAAGGGGTATGCTCATTGTCAGTTAATAAACTTCATAAATGTACAAGAAAGGTTTCCAATATCAACTCTGTTCCTTGTAGAATGCACATTTAATAGACATTCCATTTATAAAAATTTCAATGTTTAATGTTTTACACCTTTTTGATTGTGCACAATTATTTTTTTTAGATGATGAACAAATTAAAATTAATATGAATGCAAAAGCAGAATTCTGTATAATCCTTTAACTGCTTAATTTTTTTCTAAATTACATTTATGTATTTTTTCCTGTGTGTAAATGTGTATTGTAATGTGGATTTATTTTCTTGTATTTGACCTTTATCCTGTTGTAAAAACATGTACTTATCTACTCTAGGCGATCTCTGTTAGTCAGTATTAGTTATATGTAATTTTGTTATATATTTATGGTTGTTATGCATTTTCCAGGGGAATACTTGTTCTGTATAGATTCTCTATCAATTCGGTAATATGAAAAGTTTGAAAATTTGACTGTTGATAGCCAAACCTGCATATATAAAAAACGGGATCCAACTTAAATAGATTTGTGTCCCATATAAGAACTGTCCTTTATTTAGAGATTCATGACAAATCTGAGAAAAAATGGACTGAATTTCAAATACTTTGCTATGAAATTTTATTTCAAACGTACAAGCTATTTTAGTTAATTGGGTTTTTTAATATGTATTTTCCATTTTGGAAGAAATATTGAATTCTTTAGAAATTAAAAAAGAACTGACATTAATTAGAGTCATACCAGAATAAAAAGAATTTTTCTTTTTCTTGCCAAAAAAAGTTCAACCTTCAATGTTCAATGTGAATTCTTCAAGATTGAGATCATTAACTTCAACCTTAGTACAAAAACCAAAAAGTTAAAGTCTTTCTGTTATATTAAAAGTATGTTGATTATGACATCATGGCTCCTGACCAAACTGTTTTTACTTTTGTGTTGTCTCCACCTTGATACAAATTTATTTGAAAAATTAGGCCAAATAAGTTTTATCAGTCTACAGAATACTTGATTGTTATTATTTAACTTTTACACCGAGTTGCTTTTAAGAAATGTGCTTCCAATATATAAACACACGAGAATCTTAAACAAGTGTTTCCTGCAAAATGTAATTTCTCTGTGATACTACTTACTTGTTAATGTATTTTTTAGAACTTTTATAATTAGATAAAATATCATGAATTAAACTTCTAAGTAGTTAGAATTGTTTTTGATTTTGATTAATTACGTATGTAAGTACAGTTGAACCTTGTTATGTGAAAGTCGTAGGGACCGGACAAAATTATTTGACTTATCCAAGGTTCGTTTCATCTGAGGTCGAGTGTGTTGTAATGAATTTGGAATCCATTAAATACGGTTTGAGATTTGTGTAAACTAGATATTTTGAACAGTTTGCCTTTTTATATGACACTTTTTGATTGTGTATTCAATCTCCATATTTTTTGTTCCCTTATAATAATTAAACACACAAGGACAGATACAAAACGTTAATTAATAAAACCAATACACAAATATTTACAAAGGTCAGTCACCATAAATTATGAAATCACTTGCGGAACGAACGAAACAAGTTGAGAAACATCTCTGATGATCGAGGGTCGTCTGCTTTGCATTCAGTTATTATATATTAATCATAATTGTCTTAATCCTTTTATTTATTGTAATTAACAGATTTATGTTCTAACAATTTCTTAATCTCAGCTTGGGTCATTTAAATTCGTTTCGTTTTTATGTCAGGTAAAATATGTTCAACACACTATGTTTTGCATGGACAATCAACAAAGGTGTTAATTACCGGTCACCATAAACATGTCATTTTAACTATTATACAAACAAGCATGTTTACATGGCTTTAATCTCTTTTTAAAATGATTAGGCAGCATAAGAAATACATCCCATTTGAATTGTTATCATTAAGTCTGCATCTTTAGAAAGTTCTTACTTATGCACTTTGAGATATCGGGGTCAATTTACATTAGTTTTACGTCAAAGGGGCTATAAATTTTTTCTAGACTTAACCGAGTATTTGAATCAACCGAGTTCGACTCATCAGAGGTAAATATACATTGATCAAACAAAAATTTAACCGGGACAGAGAAATTACTTCGACTTATCCCAGTTTTGAGACACAACCGAGTTAGCCACAAAGAGGTTCCACTGTATAGGTATTAAATAACAAATTGCAATAGTTTAAAAGTAATTTTAAACATCAAAATAACTACAATAATTAGAAAATATTGAAGAAAATTAGAAGCAACAGTAGTTTAATGATGTTCAAATCTCATAAATCCCTCAAGAAGATACAAATCAAGGTATAAAACAAAACCTGAGGGAATGGCATGAACTCTAAAAAGAGTAAGACTCGGGCTTCACTATAGAGTCAGTGTGTCTGCTAAGCGTGCATCCCCTGCCATGCCAATCCACACAGGAAAAATCTCACAATCATGATTAGGACTCAATCGGTGAAATCATAGATCCAACAGCTTTTCTTTTATCTAAAGATCTAAAACCAGGAAAACATGTTGATATTTAGTTAAGACACAGACATATGTATCAGTCAACCAATTCATAATTATTATGTTGACCTTGAAACTTAGGAAGTGTAGATTCTAGTTGTTCTTCCTCATGACTTTATTGGAGCAGTTTTTGTCTCAGGTGCGAACTTCTGTTAATGACAAATTTATAACAAAAAGCACTGGCAACATTGCAAAATACCAAATATTGATTACAAAAGAAAAAAGCTGAAATATATCCTGTCAATGCCATGGCAAAAAAACAAAAAACGACCAAAAGACAATCAACAGTAAACAAAACACAACATAGAAAACTCAAGACTGAGCAACACGAACCCCATCAAAAACAGGGGTTGATCTCAGGTCCTCCAAAAGGGCTAGCAGATCCTGCTCAACTAGTGTCACCCATCGTGTTACTGATGACAGTACAAACCTGATGATTAGTCTAATTCGGTGTTAAGTATTTCGTCTTACCTGCTGATATTTTTCGTTGATAAGAGTAGATTTAAGTTTTATTTACTTCTAAAGACGTCCGTGCATGCACAAATATTATTAGATAATAGAAGAGAGGCGGACGATGCTTAAAGGAATAGTAAAACTCATAAGTCCAAAACCAACTGACAAAGCCATTAGAAAAATGAAAAATGACCAAAAGACATACAACCATCAACAAAACACAACATAGAAAACTCAAAGATGATTAATTAAGCTAGACTAAATAATTTTTTTATAAAGTTAATTTTTGTCTGTACCCATCTGAATTCAACAATTAAAAATACAAATATATTGAATCATTTCGGTATCAAAAGTTGTTTCAAAATGAAACCTTTCAGTTCCAGACTCTCTTTTTGAAAATTACTGAAGCCCTTGAGGGTTGTTTATGTAATTGGTGTTCTATATCTATCATCACTTGTTGAAATTTCTAATGGGGACTGCATCGACTTTCTGCCTTCATGAAAACTTTTATTCTGTGAAGGCTACGTTGGAATTAGTAATTTTTGAAAAAGACGAAAAACATAAAAACGAAGGGACAAGGGCAGTTCACAAAACACTACACAACAAAAAGAGTGATGGATTTGAATCCCAACAAAAGCTGGGGATGAACTCATGTACTAAAGAAGAAAAAAGAGTTCCCGAATCACAAGTGGCATCGTCGTGCTTTTAAATCAAGTAAAATCCGATTGATAAGTCTAATTAGGTGATGTCACAATTGAGGAAACTAGAACGTGGTTGTGGCTTCCACAAGTGGAACATCCATGACTTAGATATTCGAAAATGGTAAACGAATAAAGATGGACGGTACGTAAAATTTTTGAGGGAAGACTTAAGTTTATTTATGATTTTTATTAACGACCTCACAGCTTAACATATGTAATTATGTCTTCTTTTTCACATTTTTTGGGTCCATTGTCTTGCATAATCCTCGACTAATATAAAAATAAGTAGATGTAGTATGATTGTCCAATAGACAACAATCAACCAAACACCAATTGAAAGTACAAGGATGTTGTATATAAAATACCACAGGTCATCTTACGATCTTTAACAACGAGGAAACCAAGACCGAACAGTAAGCCATAAAACACCCCCCACCCCCCGGAAAACAAATTGTAAACTATTGAACAATTGAAGTGAAAACTAATGGTCTGATTTCAGGTTAAACAAAGTTAACAGATTTTTTCAATGACAGATGCGGAACGACAACCACGAAACTACAGGCTTCTGACTTTGATTATACTGCTGCTGGTGGACTATCAGTCCACGAGGTTATCATCAGCTCTGTAGTCAGTACCTTAGTCAGTACTTAGGTACTGAAATGATTTATTCTAAAATTGTCCGTTTATAAATTTATAGATTTATAAATAAACTAAGGTTTCAACTCCCAAAGGCAAAGTTGACCTTAGATGGATTAGTCTATTTTTAGGTCCTTTTTGTTCATATAGCTCTAACTGTTTCGGTTCTATAACATCCTTGGATTTCAAAAAGTCGGCTTTGAGCGTTCATGGTGAAGGTAAATCCAGAAAAGCGCTTCGGACGCATGACATTTAACTAGCGTAATAACCAGGTTTAATCCACCATTTTCTACATAAGGAAATGCCTGAACCAAGTCAGGAATATGACAGTTGTTTTCCATTTGTTAGATGTGTTTGAGCTTTTGATTTTGATATTTTATAAAGGACTTTCGGCTTTGAATTTCCCTTGGAGTTCGGTATTTTTGTTATTTTACTTTTTATAACGTGTTGTTTTTTACAGCACTGAGCGGATACCGCTGTTGGTGGACTATCTGTCCCCGAGGATATCATCAGCTTAGTAGTCAGTACTTCGGTACTGCCATGTATTGATTTATAACAAACCTCTCTAGAATTGTCCATTGATAAATTTAGAAATTATAAAGAAACTAAAGTTTCAGCTCCCTAAGGCAAAGTTGACCTTAGATGGATTTGTCTTTTTTATACATCCTTGGATTTCAAATACAAATACTCGAATTTGAGCGTTCATGATGAAGGTAAATCCAGAAAAGCGCTTTGGACGCATAAAATTTACAAAGTGTTGTTTTCGTTTTTTTTTCTCTTTTGTACATAATTAAGTAGATATGTTGTTATTCCTGTTGTCATGTTTGTATTGTCGTTATAACACTATTGTTGCAGGAGCAATTCTGCCTGTAATTTTTAGGATGCGAACCACAGACTTGTACGAGTATATTGTCTGACAGACAGATAATCAGACATATATCAAAATAACAGCGTCTAAATTATTCTAAATAAAACTAAGAAAAACAAATGCTTTATTTTATCTATACAAGATTTAAACTTAATCCGACATTTGGTTTGTAGACATTGAGTAAATTTTAATATATTCATGTAAAACACCAATCTTATTCCATCATACAACATTACAAGTAGCTAGTCATAAAGGTCATAGTAAGTGACACAGTCAGTCTTACTATTTGGATAGTGCAGCGGTATATAGCTGATGGTCCGCAAAAACAAAAATGATAAGATTCTATTAATAATTATGAAGAAAGATCAAAAGTTCACAATTCTGTCAAACAACATTGTGAAACGGTTCAACACTAATATGTAAATTTATGGATAATAAAAAATTACAAATAGTCAATACATATAAAATTTGACTAATTTGGTATTATGATTAAACATAAAATCAAACAACTATTTCCAATAAAAGTGAAATTATGCCACAGTACCTTTTGTACGTTGTTTGTCTGCGGATATTATAGGATGGTAAAAAGATATATAAAAAAAATATTTGTTTAAAAAAAGTATTACAAATCTACCGAACTCCAAGGCAAATTCAAAAAGAAGAAGTCCATAAAAAGTGACAGAATCTAACGTGATGGACTTTATCAACCAACGGAACGAATGGAAAATACATTGTAACTGTCATATTCCTGAAGAAAATGGTGGGTTAAATCTGGTTTTATAGCTAGCTAAACCTTCAACTTGTATGACAGTTGTTTATAGTTCCGTTCTACTGCCAACATATTTGAGTAACCCAAACAGAAATGATAGGTTAGTATGACAATAATTGGGACCCATCAGCCTAAACTGTGTAAACATGCATTACAATTAAGAACAATATTAATTATTTGAAAAATAGAGTTATGGTAGTTGTCCATATTTTAATAACCAACGAGGAGAACACATATATACAAATATACATTGCTGTCAGT